AAGGGCAGGGGGCAGGTTTCGAGGTCGGCAAGGCAAGCGAGCCCCGTGCGTTCCCTCACCCTGCTCAGGTTCTGTGCCCAGGAGCCAGCCCAGGCCGCCGGCGCGAGTTGTCGCTGGCTGCGGAAGCCGCGTCCGCCGGTGCGCAGCGGCAGTCGGCACTGGGTTTGCTGCGTCTCTGTCAGCGGGTCCAGGCGCGTGAGCTCCGTGTAAGAAGCCAGCAGGGCGTCGTCGTACGCCCCGGCGGCGGCCGCCGAGGTCGCCGGGGTGTTCGTGCGGAGGAGGTGCGTCAGCTTGCTGGCCCCGGTGTGCCTGAGCAGCAGCGCGGCGGTCTGTCGGGCCGGCAAGTGCGGCGAGGCTTCCGCGGGGAGGGCCGCCAGCCTGGCAAGCAGTTCAGCCGCGCGCCCCGCCGTCTCCGCGCAGCGCTCCGCCGCGTAGGCTTCCTCGCCGAGGTCCACCCGGCGCGCGTCGCTCTCGTCCGGCAACCCTGCGGGGGGCAGCGGTCCTCCCAGGGGGACCCCCACGAGGGTGAGGCCTCGCGCGCGCCACTGCTCCTCCAGTCCTGGAGGGCAGGCTGCCCCCGCGGACCAAGCCTGCGTTTTCCTGGGTTCCAGCTCAAGGCCCAAGCCGCCGAGGGCCCCCTGCGCGGCCGCCTGTACCCGGCCCGCAAGCGCCGAGGGAACCAGCACGACGACATCATCCAAGTAGGCGAGGACGTGGACGTCCTCCTCCTGCTCCTCCTCCTCCTCCTCCTGCTCCTCCTCCTCCTCCTCCTTCCCCTTCTCCTCCTCTTCCTCCTCTTCCTCCTCCTCCTCCTCCTCCTCCTGCTCCTCTTCTTCTTCCTCTTCTTATTTTTCCTCTCCCTTCTTCTTCTTCTTCTTCTTATTCTTCCTCCTCCTCCTCCTCCTCCTCCTCCTCCTCCTCCTCCTCCTCCTCCTCCTCCTCCTCCTCCCCCCCCGCTCTTCTTCCGCCCATGCCATGCTGGTTGTCGTCGACCGCCCTTGGTACAGAAAAATCCACTTGCTAACTTGGACACGCGCTAGAGTCGACGGACGTGCAACCCTGAAGCCAGGACATGCCGTGCCAAATAAATTCGCACAGAACTCCATAGCACTCTGAGGCGGGGCAACACCCAGACCGCTATGTAAGCATACATCCTCCTGACTCTGGCTTCCTCAGAGATGCCTGACTTATTCCTTTATCCGTCCTGCCCTCATTCTAGAAAACAGAGGGGACGGGGCAACCGCGTCCTATGAAACGCCTTTGGAGACCCTGCAGCCCCTCCCTCGCATTGGCCTGGCCCCTTTCCCGTGCATGGGAGCAGGATCTCAACAGGAGGAGGGGCTTGCGCCACCCATCGCCTTACTGAGACGCGGGCAGGATGCGAGCATCGTCGGGAATTCGCCGGCCCAACGGGCCAGAGGCGTGCTAAGATCCCTGGTAACTACTTAACAATATTTCTAGTTCGCGCGTGCGGGGCGGCCCCTGGGGCCCCCCCGGCGAAAAATACTCCGACCGCAGCCCGGGAAGGTCCCGGGAAGGTCCCGGGAAGGTTCACTCAGAGATGGTTTTCCTCCTGGGCACGGCCTCTCAGGCCCCCCAGAGCGCGCCAAGAGGGCCCCAAGGGGCCCCTAAGACTGCCCAAGAGGCCCCCGAGACGCCCAAAGGACGCTCCAAGACGCCGAAGACGATCCCAAGACGGCCCAAGAAGCCGCCAAGACGCTCCAAGTGGCCTCCAAGAGGCCTCACAAGAGCGCCCCGGGAGGCCAAAATCATCAATGTTACTATTGTTTCGGGAGGATTCTGGCCTTGTCGCATTTTCGGCTTGCCGATGCTCCAAGACGGCCCAAGAGGCCCCCAAGAGCGCACGAAGACGGCTCAAGAGGCTTCCAAGAAGGCCCCCAGAGAGCCCAAACGGGCCCCAAGACGGCCCCAGAGACGCCCAAGACGGCCCATGAGAGCCCCAAGATGGGGACCACGAACCGAAACCTCGAGCCTTCCGCCCCAAGAGGGCCCCAGGAGGCCCCGAGAGGCCCCCAAGATGGCCCAAGATGCCGCCAAGAGGCCCCCAAGAGACCCCAGGAGGCTCCAAGAGGGCTCAAAAGAGGCCCTACAAGGCTTCAAAAATGCCTCCCAGGCGCCCCCGAACGGCCTCTCAACAGACCCCAGGGCCTCCCAAAGAAGCATCTGGACGACGGCCCTGTTTGGCCCCAAGAGCACCGCAAGATGCCATCGAGAGGCTTCCTCCTCCGCCCTTTTCTCTTCCTCCTCCTCCTCATATTTATCTTCATCCTCCTCCGTTCCTTCTCATCCTCTTCTCCTCCTCCCCTCCCCCACCCCATCCTCATCTTCCTCCTTCCGGCGGCGCCGAAATGGCCCAGAGCCCGCGCCGAAGCAGTAGCGATCATGCAATACGGGCCGGCGGAGTGAGCAAAGCGATTGAATAAACTAGAGTAGTTCGACTGCGTGTTCGATCTAGAACGGCGACGCCTCTATGAACTTTCCATCAACCTTCAAGCAGGTGAAGCCAGGTAGTGTGTTTGAGCTGTTCAACTACCATGTCCGACGAACAATTATTGTTCACTCCCTCTCCGCCCAGTGCCAACTGAATTCTTCAATTGAAATACCCCCACTTGAGCTCGCACCCTCTTTTCTCAAGGCATGGATTGAGGCTTGAACTGCGCTTGTGGCCCCCGGTTGGCAACAATCATGGCTCCCGCCTTGTGGTTCCTCTCATCTCGCTCGAAAATTCCAAACAACTTGCTCAAGAACCGCGCCTTCATTTTCGACATCTACGGATCAGGTTTTCGCGCGAAGCATCCTCGCAACTTACTCAGGACTCGTGTTCTAACTTTTGTGCAATTTCCGAAATTCGTTTCAATGTCCCGCCCGCCGTTCGCCCGTTACGCAGGGCCCGCCCGCCCGACCCGCCCGTCAAGGTCCGCCCGCCCGACCCGTCCATCAGGGTCCGCCCGTCCGCCTGCTTGAAGCCCGCCCGCCCGCTGCAGTGGCCCGCCAGACTCGTCCGTCAGGGCCCGCCCGCCGGACCCCCGCCCATGGAGGTCCGCCAGCCCGACCCGCCCGTCGGGACCGACCTGCCCTGACGGGTCAGCTTGCCAAAATGATTGCTTCATAGCCATTCGTCGTCCTCAAATATCATCCTCTCCTCATCCTCCATCCGTTGTCGTTTCCTCCTCCTCCTCCTCCTTTCCTCGCTCTCTCCCTTTCCGTCCCCCCTCCTCATCCTTCAACCTTGGGGGTCGCGCCAACTACGCGTGGCATGCAATGAAGAAATTCCCCAAAACAATGCGATCGAAGACCAAGAGGGCGGGCATCGATGGTTTAGCGTATCGAGCAACGAAGGAACGAACCGTCTTAACATGATGGCTGTTGTTGTTCGAGTACGCGTGCCTGCGGGCGCCCCTGGGAGGTCTGCGAACAGCACTGCAGCCGAAGTCGCCTTAAGAGCGGGCGAAGAGAGGGCAAAAGCGCGGCGGATCAATGCTTGTCAGGCCTTATGACGCCATCGACGGCCCCGAGATGGCTGAGGATGGACCAATCTAGACTAACGGAGTCTACCGAAATGGCCAAAGAGAAGTCCATAGGAGGCTCCCACAATTGCTAAAGCCATTAGACGGCGCGTCGTGTCATTTCTTGATGCCTTCTCGCCCAGGCGGGCTCCAATTGACTTCTCGGGACCCGAGGTGGCCCCAAGAGAGTCATAAATGGGCCCTGAGACCCCGCAAGAGAGACACACGATGCCCCCAAAGCGGCCAAATAGCGAGAGTCAGCGGGTGTCAAACAAAAATGAGGTGCCAAGGTTGACGCACAGGGCCCAAATATGGTACCAGCATGGCCCCAGGTTGCCCAGCGCAGCCAAATTGACTGCACACCTGGCACTCAAAATGGCCGAAGCACCTCTCCTTGGAGACTGCTGAGAAGCCAAAATCATTTAAATACAATCGGCTGTTGATTCCAATGGACTCTTCTGGTCTCGAGGTGGCCCAAAGAATGCACCAAGATATCCCACAACAACCCGAAGCGGGTTCCACGGTCCGACAAGAGGGCCCAACGAGGGCGCCAGGAGAAGCCCAATGGGGGCCAAGGGCGGGGACGAATGGGCGACAGGCATCAGGATTGCCCTAAAAACAGCCTCAAACTAGCCTCATCAGGCCTTACGATTGTCCACATGTCGCACAACATTGTCCAAGACACCCTCAAGAGGCCCCGAGGACTGCCATAGACGCCCCAAGGATACCTTCTGGAGGCTCCCATGTACCCCCAAGAATTCCAGCAGGATGCACCGATAGCCCTCGAAGGGGCTTCTACAAATTGCCTGCTCGTGTTTTCAAGCTTCGACGCAGAAACATGGGTGGGAACGTGTTATGTTGAGAGCTGCACTTGCGAAATCTACCAAGCAACTGCTTCTTCCCGACACGAACTTCCCACAACAGCTTGGGGAACTATCACCAACCAACAACTTACCAACGCCCACTAGCACACAGGCAAGTGGCAACGATGATGCATTATGGGCCAGCGCCCAAGGGGTGTCTGACGTCTGACGGTCAACGAGTCCCGAGAATACATATATATATATATATATATATATATTATAATGGCGGGCTGCGGCCATCTCAGAGCGCACTGGAACGTTCTGATATGAATGTGCTTCAGAACACTCAGGAGCGATTTGTTCGTAGCCCAGGGCTGCCTGGCCCAGTCCCGTTTCTATAAGAACAAATGGCGACATAAACATTAACTTTGGAAGTCCTGCGCGGAATTGTTGTGTCGACACTGGAAGTGGCCCATCACCACCACTTTACTGGCGCACGGAGCGCGCTGGTAGGCGCTGGAGGCGCTGCCACGGATGCGGGCGACCCAAAAACTTCCGCGCAGACCTCCGGAAATTTAGCGTGCCTCGTTCGACTGTCCTCTGTTTGGAGCCCTCCGCTCCGTGCCGTGTGCCGACCCACCTCGACCGAAACCCGAAAGAGCCCCCCCGCCTGCCCGGACCTCGGGCAAGCATGCACCCTCCGGCAGCTCCGGCTCCAGCACCTGCGCCGCCGCCGTAGCGGCGGCGTCCGCAGTGGCGGCCGCCGGGGCCTCGTCGTGGAGGGGGCGCTGGGAAAGACGCGCGCGCGCGCCGCCAAGCGGCGCGTCCCACGGAAGCCCGAAAGAGGCGCACAAGGGTGCAGTGCCATGGGGACGGCTCTCAGACGCAAGCAATCTCTCAGACGGGATCGGGCCCTTCTCGGGATCGGGTGCTTTAAGACAGCCGCGGAAAAGTCCAGGCCCCGGGATTGCCCAAGATGGCCTGCCCAGCCTCTTGAGGAGAGCGTCGCAAAGAACGCCACCCTGGCCGCACCCGTCCAGGGAGTAGGAGAGCGCATGACCCAGGATGGGATTGCCAAACTCCTGGTTCAACTCAGCAAACGTGTCCGATGAATATCCGCGCATCGCTTGTGTCACATCAAGCGCGTGGCGATGAGCACAAGTATGAGAAGTCTTCGCGGGGGGAGACAATCGTCTCAGAGGATGTTGCTAATTTCTCAAATTCCGTCCCCCCTTGGACAAACGTTAACGATCATTGAACCTCTCCCGAACAAAAATATCTGTAAGCCTCTGCGCGTGACAAACCAGTGCAATCTGGCCAGGGCCCCAGACTGCAGCTTGGTATGTCCGTTGCTCTCGTTGCGTTCGTGGTGCGATGGGAAGCAAAGTAACGAATGTCGATCACATGTGCGCCCCTTGCCTCCAGATGCAAAACAAACAACGAGAAAGACACGACACGCGAGAATGCGTGAATCCTCGCCTCGTCGCCCCCGCCGACGCAGCCATACCAAACAAACCGTCATCCCGAATCGAATCCTGAACTATTATGACGTGGCCCAGAAAGACAATCAAGTCATGAACACCGCCGCTTTTAAACTCTCGTCAAATTGGCTGCTGGCAGACGTCTCGACACCGCGAAGACAACACAAACCTTTCGAAGATCGCCGAAAAATCCGAACACCTCCCTTTCCTGGCCCTGGCAGCCATAGCTGCTGCAAGGGGTTGCGGCCTGAGGAAGCTCTCGCCCGCCCCCTCCCCGAAGACAGCCGAGAACCTCCGAAGACATCCCTTCTCCTCCTCCTCCATTCCTTTCCCTGATAAAACAACTCCTCTCTGTCGCACCCCGAGACTGGTCGAAAGGGCGGGCTGGGCGTTCCACCTGAGAGTTCCTCAAAATTAACCCTGAAGCTTCAAAATTGGCAACAACTTCACACATTGAGAGCGGGTGGTTTTCAAAATGTGAGCCTCGCCTCTGCGCCGCGCACATTCGTCTAAAACATTTGCAAGAGTTTCACGGGTTGAGGGCGAGTGGTTTTCAAAATGTGGCTCTCGCCTCGGCGCCGCTCACGTACGTTTTAACAATTTTCAAGAGTTTAACTGTAGCTCTCGCCTCAGCACCGCGCACATTCGTTCTAAAAAGTTGGAAGAATTTCGCGGATCGAGGCCGGTTTGTTCTTTAAATGTGGCTCTCGCCTTAGCGCCGCGCGTACTTGTTTTAAACATTTGCAAGAAGTTGACGGATTCCCATGGTCAAGGACCCAGAAACGGTGTTTTGGAAGGATCCAGGATTTTGAGGTCGACGTTGATTCGCGGTGTTGATGTCCCAGGAATGGTGTTTTTGCGCGGTTCTGGACTGTCAAGACGCAACTGTCATGTTGATTCCTGGCGTTGGAGTCCCCAGAATGTTGTTCTGGCATGCTTCAGGGTCTTCAAACGGTTGTCTCCCCACGAGGCAACTCCCTCAGTGGGTAATGAACCCTTGTGGGCCTATGAAGAAGGAGCTTGGAGGGATGATTCCTCCCAACATCGTTCATGAGTCTTGGGTTTACGGTCAGCCTCCTGGTCCTCCTCCTCCTCCTCCTCATCTCTTCGTCTTCTATCCTTCCTCCGTCCTCCCCCTCCTCTTCGCTTGATCCTTCCTCCATCTCCTTCATCCTCCCTTCTCGTTCCTCCTATTCCGTTGACCTCCTTCTCCACCGTCCGAACCTTCATCCTCCCATCTCGTCGTCATCCTCCTCCTCCCTCCATCCCTCTCTGCACTCCTCTCCGGAATGTTCCTTGTGACCTCAGCCCCCACGCCCACTGCCAGAGGGCCTCCGCTGCGACCTCGCCCTCCCCGCTGGCGCCCGCGCCGTCGCCAGCCCCGGGCTCGGACCTCAGGCGGCGAGGAACTCCAGGGGGGCGCGGCGGAGAGGCGCCCGTGCAGCTGGCAGATGTTTGTCGGATGTGTTTTTCGTTGCTAAGGTTTCGAAGGTTGCCTTCGGCCCTTCGGCGAATGTTTCGAAAAAGGTTCTCGGAGGTTGTCGGGGGGGGGGACTCCCTATGTCTTCAAGCTAGCCAGCAGAGAACATTGGCAACAGCCAAACGGATTGAGGACGGCCCAGGACGGCCCCTTTTCAACACATGGTATTTGCTGGCAAATTATCCCTAAGACAAAAAATACCATCGGAAATCAACTGCAACAATGGAGGGCAACTTATTTCAAAATTGTGTTCCCGCTTTCGCAATGTCCAGCAACCTCGCAGGTGGAGGGCGATTCATGTTCAAATGCGGCTCAGCCGCGCACCTAGTCTGTTCCAAAAGTTACATGTTACATCGCAAGAGGGCGAATTGTTTCACAAATGCCGCCCCCGAGCGTCAGACGTCATCAAACGTGCACTGGGAATACATGCAACACGCACACGGGTGGATGGCGGACCATTTGCCCGACTTCGCAACTTGCAGCAAATCACGAGAATGGAAAACACATCATTTTCAAAATGCGGCTCTCGCCGTAACGCCGTGCGAATATTCCAAAAACAACACGGAACTGTTGAGAACATCGGCCCTCCATTCCCGAGTTCAAGAATTGTGTCCGCGATCCTGGGGCCACGAACACTTGAAACAAACAACGGGTGCGCGCCCCCGAACTTGCAAGATGGCCGAAGCAGACAACACAAACAACCAAAATGGCCCAAGACGTATGCAACAGTTGCCCAATACAGCCGAGGCAAACCACCAAGGCCACCAAGATGGCCCAAGATGCATCTCACATGGCCTAATAATGCCACAATGCAACCAAACGTGACCTTAATATGGCCAGAGATGCACCCAATATTGCCCGAGAGGACCACGATAGGAACTCGATTAGGGACCACAGAAACCAAATCCGCCGACCCTGTCGGCGTGTGGAAGACGCATCCCGGTGTCGTCGTCTTGCGTGGATCACCGTCGTCGTCGTCGTCGTCGTCGTCGTCGTCGTCGTCGTCGTCGTCGTGTCCTCGTCGTCTCCGTCTCCGTTGTCCCTCGTCGTCTTCGTCGTTCCCCGTCTCCTTGAGCGCGCGAGCCAAAGCGACATTGAGCAACGTCGTAGTTGAGTCGTGGCGAAGCCCCTCCCTACCCTCCCCGCCGGGGGGGGGGGGGTCGCCACCCAGATACGCATCCTCCCCGGGGGGTCCCGGAGCTCAGAAAAGCTTCAAGACGAGCCAAGAGCGACAGAAGACACCCCCAAAAGGGTACAAGAGGGCCTCGACTCGACGAACGATGGCCCCAAGACGCCCAAGACGGCCCGAAGACGGCCCAAGAGGCCCTCAAGACGCTCCAAGAGAGCCCCAAGAGCACACCCAAGAGGGCCCCAGGCGCCAAAATCGTCAATTTTACATCGGTTTTTGAATGATTTTGGCCTTCTCGCCTTTTCGGCTTTCCGACACTCCAAGACGGCCCAAGAGGCCCCCAAGAGGCCCCCAAGAGCGCCCCAAGAGGCCTACAAGAGGGCCCCAAGACGGCCCAAGAAGGCCCCAGGACAGCCTAAGAGGCGCCCAAGACGGCCCAATAGGGCCCCAAGACGGGCCCAAGAAACGGCCAAGAGGGGGACGAGGAACCGAGAATTCGAGACTTCCGCCCTAAGAGGCCCCCGGGAAGCCCCAAGAGGCCCCCAAAAGGCCCCAAGAGGCCCCCGAGCGGCGCCAAGACGCCCCCAAGATGCGCCGAAGACGGCCTCCGGAAGCCCCAAGAGGCCCAAAAGAGGCCCCAAGAGGCCCCACAACGGCCCCCAAGAGGCTTCAAGTTGCCTTCCAGACGCGCCCGAGAGGTCAACCACGAGATTCCAACCAACATCCATAAGGCCTCCTCCTCCTCCCCCTTCGCCCTTCCTCCTCCTACTCCCTTCCGCCTCCTCCTCCTCCTCCTCCTCCTCCTCCTCCTGCACCCCCCTCGTGTTGTCTTTCGTCATCTTCAGGGTCGGCGGCAACGGCCGTAAGGCCTTCGCAATATTTCATGATGATTTCGGTTTAGAATGATTTCGGCGTCGGCATCTTTCCCTTTCTCGGGTTCGTCCAACTCCAGGCGGCCCCAGAGCCCTCCTAAATGGCTTTAAGACGGCATCGAGACAACCCGCAAGGCCCCTAGACGGCCCTGGACCGCCAAACTAAAATCGATGATCCTCAGAACGTGTGTTACCGCTAACTTGTGTTTGTCCATCGAAGCCCTTTCGGTAAATTGCACATTGTGTAAACGCACGTTTGCGCGCGTCACAAAGCGTCTCGGCACGGTGGTGAATCGCAAATGCCGCGCGGAAAATTGAGTGCGGAAAGCGCGGCTGACTCCGATTATATGGGCTGGAAAACCACGTGTCCCTCGTGCGTCGCGGGAGCTTATCTCTGCCACAACCCGCGCAAATAATTGGCGGAACTGACGGAACCGACGGAACCTTTACGTCACTAACGCGGAAATCCCGTTACTAACGGAAACGTTTACGTCGGCAACGGAGATCTACGTCGGCTTGTTTGAGCGACCGAAAACACGATGCGATTTCTACGTCAACGCTCAAATCGTGGTAATGATAAAATCCGGGATTTCGAAAAACTGCCCCGGACTTAGATACTCCGTTTCTGAATGTATTAAACTGGCTTATGCGTTTACTAAATGATGTGTTGCCTTGCTTGAATTAGGCACCACAATTCAAAAAAAAACAGAAAAAAACAACTTCTCGTTTTAGTGAATCAGCGTTTTCTCAATAATTCATGACCTATGTTAGCCAATGGCTTACTGACGGAAAAAGGTTACGTCAATAACGGGAAATTGTGCCGGTACTATGCACCACCTGTCGGCGCCCCGACGAGACCCCGCAACACTAGCTTCTGCGCACTGATGACTGTCAAGAGCTGCGAAGTATCGGCGGAGCTGAGGAAGGATAACACACACTGCGCTAACACACCCTCGGGGGACCATCGAACAAAAAAACTATGTTCCCCCGAAGAATCGGAGACGACCTTGAAGACCTTCTCGACGGCATAAAATGGCTTGAACACGGCCACGCGACGGCCCAAATAACCCCAACGACTGCCCCGCAGGGGCCCGACAAGCATGATATGGCTGTCCCCAGCCTGTAACATGTCAAGCCGTGAAGGATGAGCAGCTTCAGAGAGGCGCCGAATGGGCGCGTGAACGAAAACTATGTCGGCGAAAACTACCTCAATCGTGCGAAGGACGCACTAGCAACGTTGGGCTTTCTGTGATATTCCGGTAGATCCTGGGCTCCGCGGGACCCTCCTGGTTGATGTTGGCCTTCTCGAGGCCGGGTCCCGCGGGACCGACCGTTATTGCTGGCGGCGCGGCCGCCCGGGAACCGATCGCGCGGCGATCGGACTCTTCGGTCGCCGACTCGACTGAAGTCCCGAGTTCGAGCCGCAACGCCAGCGGGCGGCGAGCGCCGAGCGAGGAGGGAAAGAAAGAAACGAACAACAAAAACTGGGCGTCTTCAGGAGGCCCAAGGCCGGGGAGGGCACCCTAGCGCCCGCGCGGACCTCGGACCGAAACAGGCAGGCCCAAAGGCAAAAAGACATGTATACGTGAAGCGTAATATTACACGCATACAAATTCTGCTAATATGAACCCTCTGCTCCCGGGAAGAGCTCGCCAGGCCTTCGCGGGCCCTCGCAGGCGGCTCAGTCCGCCTGCAATGTCGGGCTCGGGAAACCCGCGAGTATGCAGTCACGTAGTAGCGCGGGCTACAGCCAGAGGTCAAACGGCGGCGAGTGGCGGCGAGTGGTGCATATACACACGTCACGCAGGCACTACCTCACAATCACCATCATCACCATCGTCAACATCATCAACAGCATCAACAGCATCACCAGTATCATCATCATCATCATCATCATCATCATCATCATCATCATCATCATCATCATCATCATCCTCATCCTCATCCTCATCCTCATCCTCATCCTCATCCTCATCCTCATCCTCATCCTCATCCTCATCATCATCATCATCATCATCATCATCATCATCATCATCATACTCGTTCTTGCCTCCCTCGTCCTAATCTTCAAAACTTCGTATCCCTCTCTGTCGCTGTCCCTGCTCCTCACACGTTCGCTCCTCCGCTCCTTTCTGTCCCATCGCCTCCCGCCCGGCGCCGAGCGGCGAGCGCAACGTCCCCCGCCGCGCCCCCCCTCCGCCCACGGCGCGCTCTGGGGCCCCCACGCCGCAGAGGCCTTGGAGAACTTCTTCACCTGCGCCCCGCCCGCCAGGGGCTGCGCAGGACGAGGAGGGAAGAGGGCGGGTGAGGAGGAGGAGGGGGAGAGGGAGGAGGATGAGGATGGGGTCGGGAGGACGGGGAGAACATGACCCGACTCGAGATTGCAAGAAGCGGAGCAAGACATGTTTGATGGTCCCACCAGGTTGCGGCTTCCATCTTCGAGCGATGAAGGCGCGAGACAGCGTGCAACGCGCAACCAATCGCTCGCCGAACGCCATCGCTGCAGGGCACGCGTCCGAAGGGGAATGGGGCAGAGGCGGCGGCGGCAGCGGACGGCAGCAGGCATCGACATCCACAACAAGGAACAACCAGCGGAGGAGGGGGAGGAGATGATGCAGCGCGACGCCCGGCTATACCCAAAGGCGCGCGCTGCGCAAGGTGGCTCACTCCGCCAACCAACGCGGTGAGAGGCAACGATAGAAAGCGGGGGCGGGACGCGCGCGGTACTGGGGGGTGACCCGCGCCACGCCCCACAAGACCCGTGATGTCGCTCCGCGAATCCACCAGCGCCTGAACCCACACACGGTGGCCCGAGTGGCCAGGGACAGGCCGCACAGGTGCAAGCGGCGGGGCCCGGCCTCGCCAGCCGCGCCGCCGCTCCGCTCCGCTCCTTCAGCGGCCCGCCCGCTTCCCCGCTTCCACTGAGACCTCAAGAGTGGAGGACGAGCGGGACGGAGCAGGGAGGCGGGGGAGAGCCGAAGGGGACAGAAGATGGGGCACCCACGCCGTTCAGGAATCATGCTTCAAAAATCCCACGAGGGGGGAGGGGGGACGAGAGCTGACAGAGGGACGGGCAGCGTGACGGAAGACATGGCTCCTGTAGGGGTCAAGCGAGACCCAACCATCCTTGGACAGGCGGACCGCCTCCCAGGCACTCCCCGGCAAGCGGCTTCATCAGCGTCACGATGTTGTTCTCAAGTCTCCGAAAGGATTTACGAACGCGTCCCAGACTGACCGAAGACGCTACCGATGCCTGTCGCCTTGAGCCCCGCTGACTTCGAACAACACTGCCCACGGAGGCAAAGAGTCGATCATTTGGCGATTTCCTTATGACTGGTATTCATTACGGTTCCTAGCGCTGTTCTTGTGCGTCATGCGTGCGCCAATGTGTGATGTACGTGGCAGTATCCTGGTTCGCTGGTTGTCATGGATTGTCGGCGCGCCCCGTAATGTTGTTCCCACCAATGCGCCAAACATGACACGTTTTGCAACGGCGTGTCCCGATGAGGACGCGGAAACGATACGTTGTGGTTTGGTATTCACCGATGCATCCCGGGCCGCCGCACTCTGCCTCTAGGAGCAAAGATCAAGGGCAAAGGCAGGCGGGACAACAACAAAGGAATCTAAACAGCTGAAGCAAATCCGTGCATCCGCAGGGAGGTCGGGGGCAAACCATATCCACTTAGCGTCAAAAGTGCGCCAACTTAAGGGCATCCTGTAGGGCTGAAATCAAAAAGTGCAGGGAATCGACTCGAATACGAATTGGAAGTGTGCCACTGGCATGGAGTAGACGAGAAAACCAGGAGATAAGGAATACTACATTTCACTATCCAACCAATACTCGTACTAAACGAACCCTAGCGGCTGCTCAAAAATTTGGAAAACGTTTTGGGCCGATGTTGGTAACCGGCTAATGTATCGAGTTCCTGGGTCTCGGTGCAAGGCTCCAGACACTGTCAAGACTTGGCAAAGATATGCCCCCGATTCCAGGGGGGGCTGGGTTCCGGTGCTTTCAGAAGTGAAGATGCAAAGAGCAGATAGAGTATCACTCAGTAGCAAAATTTTCAAGCTTATAGATAAAGAACAGAAACAACGAAGTGAACAAAATGGGTTTCGGGATTATGATGGCCCCGGCCCAAGATGTCCTCCAGACGGCCCAAGAAACATCCAAGAAGCCCCAAGAGGGCTCCAAGAAGATCACGAAGATACCCAAATCAGTAGCTTTCTGGATGTTGGAGAGAGCGTGATCCACCGCCGCTTTACTGTGGAAAATTGCCCCCCTCTTCCTCTGGAGCCCGGGGGTCCCCCCCCCTCCGAAAATCCCCCCTCCCCTGGACCCCCCCCCTTCCCTCCCCCCTCCCCTTCCCCGGCAAAACCCCCCCCTCCCCTAACCCCTTCCCCCCCCTCGAAAACCGGGGGGGGGTCACTACCGGTTCGAGCCCCCCCCCCCCCTCGAAAACCGGAGGGGGGGTCACTACCGGTTCGAACCCCTCCCCACCCCCCCACTCACCGCCAGCAAACGACTCCCGGTCCCTACCACCGTCCGCGCCACATCCCCCACTGTTGTTCCCAGCGCCACTGTCCCACCACCACTGTCCCCACTGGTTCCACCACCGTCCCTACTGTCCCCACCAGTGCTCCCACCACTGTCGCACTGTCCCCACTGTCCCCACCACTGTTCCCACCACGGTTCCACTCTCCCCACTTTCTTCACGGCCCCAACCACTGCCCGACTATCCCCACTGTCCCCACTGTCCCACTGACCCTCCGCTGTCCCACTGAGCTGTCCCACTGTTCCCACCACTGTCCCCACTGTCCCCACCACTGTCCCCACTGTACCTCTGTCCCATTGTCCCACCGCCGTCCTCGCCACCGCCTTCACCACTGTCCCCACCACCACTGTACCCTCCACTGTCCCACTGTTTCCACCTCCCAGTGTCCCCACACCACTGTCCCCACCACCACCGTCCCCACCACTGTCCACTGTCCCCACTGTTCCCACCATTGTCCTCACCACTGTCCCCACCACTACAGTCCCCACCACTGTCCCACTGTCCTCACCACTGTCCCGCTGTCCCCTCACCACTGTCCCCACCACCACCGTCCCAACCACTGTCCGCACCCCCCCTCGGTTTTCTTGAAAGGGCTCTGCTGTCCTCAGGTGTCATCTTCACTGATTTCCGACTCTGGGTCGATCTCCGGAGCCCCGGCCACGGCCCTGAGATAGGCCGCGAGTTCGTCCCTGGAGGCTGGGAGCAGCCAGAGCGGGCCCCACTGGGGCCGAGGTGCCACGCCGAGGACGACCCTCAGGAGGTAGTCGGCCGTCTCAGCCAACCGCAACTCCCAAGATGAGATTATCGTGGCCAGGCTGCGGCCACCGCGCCTGGTGCGGCCACCCCGGGCCACCATGCGAGGATGGAGGGGGAACGGTTTTCCTCCAACGCGCACTTGAGCCAAATCGGCCAAGATGGAAAAAAGGTTGGGGCCAATCCGCATGCAGGCGCAATGTCGCACCGCATTTGGATCGGCCCCCTCCCAGGTTCACGCAGGCGTAGGGTCGCACCGCATTCCCCTGAGAGGTGCAAGCACGAACATGCTCTTCCTGCTGCTGGTGACGTCTAAACCGTGACACGCACGGGGGGTATTCCGTGACACATCAACGCTTTGCTATGCTATACCTCACGCGCCGCCCAGCGCGGCAGCAACGAACATGTCACGAATTTCGTCTTGGAGGCTGTCCTGCCAGCGTGGCCGAAATCATGGCCACTGCTGTTCTTATAAGCACTGGCGAAGATATGCCGCAAATGTGCCAGCCTACACTATACCCACACACCGCGCAGCACGGCGCCGCACAAACCTATGCACTTTGGCTGGGGGGCACAGGCAACAACACTTGGACCAAATTTCCCGCCCCCCTGTTTTGAATGCGAATTCGGGCACGCACGCTGCTGATGATGCTCGTGCTACGCTCCCTGACCAATGCTCCTCCTCTTCGGCAGGGCTCCGCGGCCCGTCCGAAGCTTCGCGAGTTCACCGACTCGCTGGGGCATGGGGGCGCTGGCATCGCAAAAACAACAGAAATAATCAAAAGGCAATCTCAGAATATTAGGTGTCGCCCCGACGCCGCTGCACAGCAGAGGCCCCCGTTGTCACTGATGGAGGGCGTGCTCGACGCACGACGCAACAACGATGCCTGCGGCAATATTTACAACACCCGGATGCCGAAGTGGCCCCTGATCCGGGCCATGGCGGGCACCGAGAAGATCTTCGTGGGGCCATCTGCCCGCTGCTCGTTCGACCTAACGTGGTCGAGCAAGAGGGTCTCGCTCTCCACCCTGCTGCGGAGGGCCGACGCCCTGTTGGAGAGCGCGCGCGTCCTCCAGCTGCCTTGGCCCCGGGCCAAGCACAGCGACGCAACGCTGTCGCCCCGCATCCTGGGGAGCGGCACCTGCGCCATCATGCTCGCGAGGCTCGCCTCCGCGCCCTCCAGCATGACCAAGCCCATCGCCAGGGCCGCAATCTCAGCCTCCGCCGTAGATCTCGCCACCTGTGCCTGTTTGACGGATCGCCAGTCGATGAGGCACTCCCCCGGGCGCACTGCGACGCCCGTCTGGGAGCACTCGGTTTCGAAGCTGGCGTCGGCGAAGGCGCGCAGCTCGAGCCCGTTCCCGTCGCCGCGCACCGCCTGGAAGAACAGCCCATGGCGGCGCGTGCCCAGGAGGTGCCACATGATGCGCTTGCCAAGGCGCAGCGCCCACTGATCAGTGCTGTAGTCGCATGCGCTGACATCCGGCTGACAGCGAAGGCGATGTCAGGGCGGGCGCGGCCCGACAGCCGCAGCAACCCGCCGCCCAGCTTCTGGGCGAGGCGCACGTCGCAGAGCTCGGGCTCTGCGTCCAGCTCCTCCCCCAGCGGCTCGATGGAGATGGCGCCGCACGCATTGGCATTCGTCATCCGCCACCCGGACAGGATATCCTCCAGGTAGGCGGCCTGGTGGGCCACGAACGCCCCGTCGGCCCTCGCCCCCGCCTAAAGCCCAAGGTATCGGGTCGTGCCAGGGTGCGCGTGGTCGATGAGCGATTGGACCGAGCGCGTCCCGGTCGCCATCACCACCGCCTCCACTGCCATAATCGCATCGGGCGCGCCGGCGAGCAAAAAGTCGCCCACGTAGACCAGCGCCAGGCCCAGCGACTTCTGCTCGCTCTCGGTCTTCGTCGGTGCGCCCTCCACGATGTTCCAGACGCAGGCGTCGCA